AAACACGATGCTCAGGATTCTGGACTCGCTCTGTGTCTGGGGTCTTGTGTCTCCTCCCTAGCGTGGCAGTCCTCTGATGCCTTAAAATAGTTTTAAAATTATTTTATGAAATATTTTTGCTTATTTTCTCTGGAAGGATTAATCAGACACAGACCGTAATGCCATAGCCACATGCAAAACACCTCAGCTGTGTTTTCTGTCTCTGTAACCCCTGTGCTGACCCTACCCCATCACTGTGGCTCTGCCCTGCAGCCCGCATATGTATCTTGTCCTTGTGTCCGGATTTTGTTTTCTTTTTTTTGTGTGTGGTACTGGGAATTGAACCCAGGGCTTTTTTCATTAAACTGTATCTTTAGCCTTTTACAAATTTTTAAATTTTGAGATAGAGTCTTGCTTAATAACTAAATTGCCTGGGATGGGCTTGCATGTGCAGTCCTACTGCCTCAATCTCCCAGAGTGCAGGTGTTACAGGCATGCACCACTACATCTGGGTATGTACCTGGAAATATATTGATTTTATTATTATGTAAAACTATTAGTTTTCCATCAACTTTTGTTTAAATTCACTCATAAGATTTCTGATTTATTTCACATTAGCAGCTCTTGCATCTCACAGTTTTCTTCTGTAACTATATCAGTTCTTTTTCTTTCAGTACTTCGTATAATAGTTTTTCCAGGTCTTTTCCAGTGAGTGTCTGAGAGGTGAAGTTTTACAGTCACTGTATGTCTGAACTTGTCTTTAGTTCGTTGATTAATGATTGATCATTTGATGATGGATAATTGACTGGTTAATAATTTGATTATAGAATTCAAGGTCTAAAATTCTTTTACCTCTTTTCTTTGAAGATGTGATTTTGCTTTCTTGTATCCAGTTTGGCTTATAAGAAACCTAATGTTAATCTGATTTTCACCCCTTTGCAGGTAATCATTTTTGTTTTCTTTGTAACTTCTCAGATTTAAAAAATTCTTATTGTTATATTTTCTAAATGTCTACTCATACCCAGTGTGCATTCTTAGAGGATTCCTACTTTTCTTAATGTCTAGGACATTCTTACTAATTCCATAGTAGAATATTGTTTTCTCATTATTCTGTTATCTCCATCTTTTGTGGAAAATAGTGTAGCAGAGTCATGGATAGTTTTTTGGTATTTATAACCAATTACATTTCTCAGAAGCTTTTTAAAAAACACTGATCTTTATTTTTACAAATACACATTTATAGTACATGATGATCACATTTTTCATGGAGACTTGGTGCGTGAACACAGCATTTCACAATCCCCCATCTATTTTATTAATCTCTCTTTCCTTCACTCCCTCTCCTCCCACCTCTCTTGCTCAGCCCTTTGATTCCTTTCTCATATGCCAACAATCCATCTCACTGTTTCCTATGTGTATTCTTTATTTTGCACTCTGTTCATGTATTGGGGTTCTCATATAAGAGAAACATGCATTATGTAAACTTGTGTGTCTGATTTACTTCACTTAACGCTATGGTCTCAAGGGGCATTAATTTCCCTATAAAGTTTATCTTTTTATGGCAGAGTAGTACTCCATGGTATGTAAATGCATTTTCTTTATCCATTCATCTGTTGATGGACATTTATGCTGCTTCCAAGATTTAGATATTATGAATTGTGCTGCTTATGGGTATGCATACATCCCTGTGGTATGATGTCTTTAACTCTTTTGGGAAGATACCTAGGATAGCTGGGTCAAATGGAATTTCTATTTTTAGTTTTTTCAGGAATCTCCATATTGATTTCCATATTGGTTGTACCAGTTTACATTCCCCAAAACAATGAAGAAGTGTTCCTTTTTTCTCTACAGCTTCTCCAGAATTTGTTAATATTTGATTTCTTGAATATAGCTATTCATTTTGGAGTGAGATAGAATCTCAGTGTTGTTTTAATTTGCATTTTATAAATGGCCAGTGATGTTGAACATTTTTTCATGTATTTACTGGCTATTTGTACTTCATCTGAGAAGTGTCTATTTTAGATGCCCATTTTTGGATTCAGTTTCTAAATCTCAGGGGTCTTATTTTTTTGAGTTCTTTATATATTCTAGATATTAGTCCTTTGTCTGTTGAGTAGTTGGCAAAATTTTTTCCCCATTCTATGAGTTTTCTTTTTGCTCTGTGGTATCTTTTGCTGTGCAGAAGCTTTTTAACTTGATATAATACAATTTCTTGATTTTTGTTACTACTTCTTGTGCTACTGGAGTTCTGTTCAGAAAGTCCTTACCTATACTCTGTCTTCAAGAGTTTTACCTATATGATCTTTCAGCACATTGTTTCTGTTTTAATCTTTAGATCTATGATCCATTTTGATTTTTGTTTTCTATATTGTGAGAGATATGGGTCTAGATTCAGCCTTGAGCAAATGGAAAGCCAGTTTTCCCAACAGTTTTCCCAACATTATTTGTGTAAAAGGCTGTGTTTCCTCCTGTATGTGTATGTGTTTGGTCCTTTTGTTGAAGATGAAAGTGCTTGAACTTGTTTCTGCATCTTTTATTCTGTTCCATTGATCTTCATGTCTATTTTTATGCCCATATGATGCTGTTTTTATCATAGTAGCTTTGTAATATAACTTCAGGTCTGGGATTTTGATGACCTTCACTTTGCTCTTTTTATTCAGGATTGCTTTTGCTATCCTTGGTCTCTTTTGGTTTCATATGAATTTTAGGATTTTTTTCTTCAGTTCTGTGAAGAATGCTGTTGGAATTGCATGAAATCCCTATGAAAGTTTTATAAGTACATAGGATTGTTTCCAAAATAGACTAGGAACTACCCAATAAGGCACTCTTAAGTAAATGCCAAAAAATTCTAATCATCTCATGTGTATTATCAGTTTGTAGTATAAAGAAACTAAAAATCAGTAGCAAAAAAAAATCACAAAAATTCTGCAAGCACATGGCAATTGAGTAATACCCTCTTGAGTAATCAATGGGTCTCAGAAAAAATTACAGTTCCTAGAATCAAATGATAATAGCAAAACAACATACTGGAACCTATGGGGCACAATGAAAACAGTTCTAAGAGGGAATTTTATAGCTGTGAATTCCCACATAAGAAAAACAGTGAAAACAGAAAGAAATAACCTTGTTATGCACCTTAAGGTCCTAGAAAAACAAGAAGAATCCAACCCAAAGCTAGCATGAGGAGGATTATAAAGATCAGAGCTGAAATAAATGAAATTGGACTAAAGAAAAACTACAAACAATTGATGAACCTAAGAGTTGGTTCTTTGTAAGATTAAACTAAACAGTCAAAACCTTAGCCCACATTACCAAAACAAGGAAAGAAAGGTGAAATTATAATGGATTCTGCTGAAATCCAGATGATCTTTGGTAACTACTTTGAGAATCTATATTCAAATAAAATGAAAAATTCAGAAGAAATGAATAAATTTCTTGATATATATGAACTATGAAAGCTGAACTAAGAAAATGTAAAAATCCTGAATAATTCAATTTCAGTCAATGAAATTAAAGAAGTAATTAAGAAAATTATCAGCTAAGAAAAGGCTGATGGATTCACTGTCAAATTCTAAAAGAACTTTGGGGAAGATCTAGCACCAATACTTTTCAAACTCTTTAATGACATTGAAAGGGAAGTGCCAGTCCTGAAGTCCTTTCTGGGAGCAAATATTGCTTTGATTCTAAAACCAGAAAAGGACCCAACCCAAAAGAGAACTGCAGGCCAGTCTCTTCAGTGAGCACAGATACAAAAATCCTCAACATAATCATAATCATAAACAGAGTACAACATATCATCAAAAAGATCATACCTATATCATAACCAAGTAGGCTTCATCTCAGAGATGCAGGAATGGCTGAACATATGCAAATCACAGAAGCAAGTACAAAAATCACATGGTCATCTCAATAGATGCAGAAAAAGCATTCAACAAAATCCAACATCTATTCATGATAAAAGCCCCCCAAAATTTAAATAAAAGGTCTTATCTCATGCTGATAAAAAGCCCTCTATGACAAACCAGCAGCCAATATCATATTAAACGGAGAGCAACTGAAAGCTTTCCCTCTAAATTAGGAACAAGATATCCTCTGTTCTTGGATAGGCAGAACCAATATAGTCAGAATGATCATTTAAGAATTTTTTTAAATTGATGAATGAAAATCATACATATTTATGGTGTACAACATGAAGTTTGGAAGTATGTATACATTGTGGAGTGGCTAAATTGGTCTAAGAAGTGTATGCAATACTGCATGTACTTACTTGTTTGTGGAGAAAACAATTAAAACTGCTTCCTTGAGGATTTTCAAATATCCAGTCTTGAGCTCCAGATGTGTGTTGGCATTTCTGGATCTATGCTCCGAGAGCTTGACTTTTGTTTCCCTCTTGTTTTATGCTACATCCTAGGAGGAAAAGGAAAAAGTAGGGAGAGAACCTGCCACCGCCTGCGGTGTTGATTTGCTCTAAGCAGTGTCTAACTCTTTGGACTGTTCACCTCTCTGTCCATGTGTGGTCTCTGTGTTTGCCTGTGTATTTATGTGCTCTGGAGTGGATTTTCACGTGTGTGCATCTAGAAGCATTTTTAGGAAGAGCTACTTAAAGATGTTATTACTGAAAATCTAAGAATTCCAAGTATATGCACTGTGGTGAACAAAGCCTGACCAGGTCTCAATCTCTATCTCCTTAGAAATTAAAGTCAAATGTTTCAGGAAGGAAGAAATGTTAAATAAGTGAACAAAACTGTCCACATTCGTTTTTGTAAATGCATTCACAGGCATGGAATTACCTGGAAAAATGATCCCTGGGAGATTTGCTGAGGGTCCTGTAAGCCCTTAGTTACGACAAGTCTAAGTGACATGCTATCATGCCTTAAAACCCTTGGAATCCTGCTGTGCTCTGGTGACGTGTTGTGATACATGAGGGTTGGATGTAGAGGAAGAATATTGACTGTGTTTCAGGAGGTGTAGACGGCAGCTGAGCACCTTATGCATATGTGTGTCACATTCTCTCTGTCCAGACCAGGTACACAGTGGCCAAAGACAGCGTGGTGCAGTTCTTCTTTTACCAGCCCATCAGTCATCAGTGGAGACAAACTGACTTCTTTCCCTGCACTGTGACATGTGGAGGAGGTGAGGCACAGACTTTATTCTGTGGAAATTACATGGGCATTTTCAAAATGGACTTTAAAATAGGTGTGGTCTCGGGGCACGGTGGTAATTATACCCGTGATCCCAGCACTCTGAGAAGTTGAGGCAGGAGGAGAGCAAATTTGAACCCAGCCTGGGCACCTTACCAATTTAAGACTCAATCTCAAAATTTTAAAAAGTTTTAAAAGGGTTAGGGATGTAGCTCAATGGGAAGAGCCTGGTTTCGATCTCCAGTATCCCCAAAGCCAAACAAACAAAAAAGTTAAGTGCAGAATACTTTGCTCAGAAGCCTGGAATACAGTGGTGTTAATGAATGTACATTTGCCTTTATTCCCAAAGACAAGTGGAAAATTGAATTTAGAAAACATCCCTTATTTTTACTCCAAAGCTGGTGACATGTTTGTGTGTGTTTTCTTCTCAAGTATCCTTAAAATATGTGTGTTTAAAAATTTTCTGTGGAAATCTTGAGAAACAGAATGATCGAGTGATTTGCTTCAATGGCTCCAGTGAGTGGCCTTCTTGGTCCTCACATTAGAGCTCCACCTTCTCTCTCCTCCCATGTGATAATATCAGCTTAGTAAAGAAAGAAAGGTTTCCTACTAAGTGAGAAAGGCAAAGACCTGCTTATCATCCACTCAATTCAAGGTTTTCACAGATTGTTGAAGAAGATTTAGTGGCAAGTGTGACCCAGGGCTCCACACATGCTACAAGATGTCTTCTCAGTAGATAATTGTCCCCTTAATGTGGAAAAGTGGTGACATCCTAGAGCACATGAGGAGGCCACCACAGCCATGGTTAAAATAACTTGTGTTTTCTGAAACTGACCTGAACTTTGAATGGAGGAGTAAATGGTTGAGTGAGTACAGTCCAGGGACCATGAGTTATGAGGAGCTGCAGGGGTGCAGCCTGCTGCTTGCCAAGACTCCCAGGCATGTAAGACATGTCATTCTCCGTGCGAGGTAGGACTATCACATTTGTTCTTTGCAAAACCCAAGAAAAGTATAGTCTGTGTGACCCCCTATCTGTGTTACCCGTTTTATCCATGAGCAAACTGGAACTTTAGAAGGGTACAGAAGTTATTCGTGGTTGTTGGACTGGTGACCAGAACAGTGGGGGGTCCAGATCTGTTGGATGCCAGCATCGTGTTCTACTGACTTCGCCCCTGAGTGTCCCCATAACCACCCACTGCCCCTGGGACCAGGTCAGAGTGCACACAGTGCAGGGATGGTCATGTGTGGAGAGCTACGGTAAGTTGACTTCCATCAGCCTAGCCTCGCCCAGCCCCGGGTCACTTCTTCCCTCCAAAGTTTCAGGGTATGCACTGCCTCAGATTGTCAGGAACAGAGCTGGAGTTCTGGCTTCAGTCCTGAACTGCAGTTATGTCAAGGAGGCTCCTCAGTCGAGGTCAGGGCCCCAGGAATATGCAGGTCTCTGTCTTTGGGGATTTAGGCTTTGCCTAAAAGGAGAAGGCAGGCAATTTGTGGGGAGCACTGGGCACCTCATTTACTACCAGGATCCTCATTAGCCCTGTGTCTTCTCTTTGCCTCAGTTTCTGCTCTGTGAGATAAAATGAGATGACTTGTGTTCACGAAGGTAGCTCAGTGCCTGGCACTTAGAGAGCGCAAGGGAGATATTTGTTGTGCCAGAATCTAAACCTAAACATTCACAATACCTCTAAAAAGGGCGCAGTGCACTGGCTGTCCCTTGTAGCATTCCCAGCCCTGCTGGTGATGAGCATTGTCATACACACGACTGAATGGTCACAGGGAGCAGAGAGTGTCCAGAGCTTGTCCAGAGCAGGTGGACAGACCTGAGTGTGATACACAAAAGCTGACTTCCATCACCTCAGAGGCAGGTGGGCCACAGTCCCAGGGAAGACAGCTGTCTTACATGGACCCCAAAGAAGAGAAGGGGGCTTTTTCATTCTGTGGAGAAGTGGTCATCCATGTCTTTTTAATTTATCCCTACCTGTCACACACATTATTCAGACAGATGCTCCCATTTGTACCCATCAGACAGAAGAGAAGCTCTTGGCTGTGGGAGGACCCTTTTATGGTAGGATTCAGCTTCTTCCGGTTGATTCCATTCTTAGGAGGAAACAGGTGTTTGTCACACTCAGGTGTCCAGCACCTGGTCCTGCTGGAACCACGGATGTGTCTGGCAGCCAGGCACAAGAGCATCCCCACGTATGGTGGAGCATGTGACAACACAGAGCACTTTGGGGCTGACTTGAGGCCTCTTTTCCACACTGACAAAAGGGCAGGATGTTTGACCACAGTTCTGGGGGACAACCTGCTTTCTTTCTTTGCCTGATGTTATCTCTAAACTGCAATAACATTAAAGAGGGAGACTGATTCTTCCCCCCAAATTATAAACACCCGCACCCCCCTCCTTTTAGAAGTATGTTTCCATTTAGAATGAAGATTTTCTCTGACTCAAGGAGCTGTAATCTCATTCTGTACTCTCTTTGGAGGAAATAAAAACACAAGGAAAGCATTACCCAAATGTAATTATATTAGTAATCAAATCTACATAATTTGTGTGAATGGCATTTCAGAGATTTTTGGATAATCATGAAAATTAGTTCTCTGGTCTCTGAGGTATCACAGGGACTTGGAGTCACCCTCAGTTTGTCTGTAATTAATTGTCTGCGTGGAGCACTTGAGATCAGTCTGGAGCGAGGACCAGGACCACCCTGGCCATCTGATACTGTGGCTTTCGGACAGACACTGGCACCCGAGGAAGGTCTGATTGACTCCAGCTGGATTTTCATTTTTGTGGTTTTGACCTTGCTTTTCATAATACACACCAGCCTGTTCTCTGCATTCAGCCTACTCCAGAGCCGTATCTGGAGCGAAGCTGCTGCTGGTTTATAAAATCAGGTTCCTCTTGGCAGTCAGAACTTCAAATGTAATTTTAGACTTCTAGATCAATGGGTGGAGACTGAGAGCTGTAAAGAAATGAAGTTGACATGACATTTATATAGTGGCAGAAAACCTACAGTCAGATCTTTCAGGAAAGGAAAGTGCCATTTTTTAGTGTTGTTTTTTTTTTTTTTAAATTTACAGCATCCATCTCCTTGGAACACTCACTTTCCTCAAATACTGTACAGATTGGGTTTGAGTCAGGAGTAAGTTTATTTCTTCCCATGGGACAGCTATGAGGCGATGCATCTCTTCCTTCCCATACTGACAAATCTTACTTCCCAATTGCATAGTGTATTGGTGTTGGAAAGACCTGGCATCTTTAGGGGAGATGAGCAAAACTTAACAGAAGAAAAGTGGGCTGCTATGAAAGGGATAATCACCTTGGTGCAGAGGCACAACGCTGAGCAGAAAAATGAGAAGCTGAACAAGATGTAAAACACGTTACCAATTAAGTTAAAAACATGCATATACAACAATGTGCTAGACAGTTGCATATTCAAGGACATATAAATAATTAATCAGTTAGCATCTGGGAGGAGAAGATTGAAATGAGGGACAAAACAGAAATACAAGGAGAAAGAGGGGGAAGACCATGCACAGGGCCCTGATGGCAGTGAGGAGACCGTGCAGTGAACTGAGGGAGACGCGTCACAGAGGTCCAGGTATTCCTTAAAGGAAGTGCATGGTAATGTGCTAATCACCAGCGCTAAGAGAACCACGGCCTGGTAAAGCAATTGTTCTTAGTCTTGGCCACATGCTTTAGTCATCTTAGAAACACCAGAGCATCTTTTTACAAAATACTGATATCCTGGGCCCTGGTTGCAGTGGTTCTAACTTAACTGGACCAGGAAGGAAGGAACTTGAGAGTTGATGTATCACTGTCACAGAAACCCTGTGGGTCTGTTATATGGCCAAGCCTGGAAACCACTGAGCTATGTTTCTTAAAGAGGAAAAAAAAGGGTGTGAGCCAGGCATGGTAGTGCATGACTGAAAGCCCAACATTCTGGGAGGCTGAGGCAGGAGGATAAGAAGTTGAGCCTAGCCTGGGCAACTTAGAAAGACCCTGTCTCAAAATATAAAATTAAAAAGGGTTAGGCATGTAGCTTGGTGGAAAGGCTTTGGATTCAATCCCTAGTACTGAACAGAAGAGAAGAGAAGAGAAGAGAAGAGAAGAGAAGAGAAGAGAAGAGAAGAGAAGAGAAGAGAAGAGAAGAAAGAATAGGAGAGGAGAGGGGATGGAAGGGGAGGGGAGGGGAGGGGATGGGAGGAGAGGGGAGGAGAGGAGGAAAGAAGAAAGGGACGGGATGGCATGGGACGATGGGACAGGATGGGATGGGATGGGACGCTGTGTGGCAAGTGATAACTTTGCCAGGCAAACAGGAAACCAATAGTGTTCAGACTTTTCCTCTCCTGTCCCTGTAGGCTATCAGCTTAATTCTGCTGAATGTGTGGATATCCGCTTGAAGAGGGTGGTTCCTGACCATTATTGTCACTACTATCCTGAAAATGTAAAGCCCAAGCCCAAACTGAAGGAGTGTGGCATGGACCCTTGTCCATCAAGGTTTGTACAAATTTTACTTTAAAAGCAGCAAATCAACTGCAACCGGGACTGATCAGTTCTCGTGGAATAGTACATTTCCACCTCCTGACTCTGACTCTGCAGGGCTGGCGGGGGCCTGGTTTACAGGCATAACTTGATCAGTAGAAATTAAGACACCTTTGCAAATTCCAGCACTCTGGCCAGCACTCTCTTCTTGCTGTGGGATATGTGGCCATGAGCTCTGTATAATAAACCTGTTTGGACATCTCCTGTATGCACAATGTTAAAGGCCTCTTTACCCAAGTCCCATGTCTAGCCCATCTGCCAGTTCTGACTGTCTCTGTCGCATCATTTGAGCCTTGGAAATAAGTCATCCTTGCGTACCTACGTTTGTAGCAGTACAGCTCACCATAGCTAAGCCTTGGAAATGGTCTCCGTGTCCATCAATAGATGAATGGGCAAAGAAAATGAGTTATTGATATGTAATTGAATGCTTCTCGGCCACAAAAATACATTTGAGTCATTTATAGGAAAATATACCTTTCTAAGTACAGTAAGTCAGACACAGGTTAAATATTATATGGTTTTTCTTGTATGAGAACCCCAAAGTATAAAAATTTTTTAAAAATTAAAAATATGCAATAGGGGTCCTGGGGATATAGCTCAAAGGAACAGCACCTACCTGTCAAGCACAAGGTCATGAGTTTGATTCCAGGTACAAAAAAAAAAAAAAAAAAATACGTGATAGAAAAAAGGAGGTAGATATTTTGGGGATAAGAAAGGGAATCTGGAAGGAGAGTGGAAAGGAAGGGAAAGTAAGACGGGTTAAGAATATCTATCTGTGTATCTATGTATGTATGTATCTATCTATCTATCTATGCAACAACTCTCCACAATGAATGTATTTATTATGTACTGAAAACGTGTACTAAAGTTTCTTTTTTTAAAGAAAACCTGGATCACCCATTACTACTTTTGCCTTTTGAAGTATCACATTAAGTTTGGTATAAGTAATGCATAGTGCTATGCACAAACTGGGAAGTTGAGTAATTGAGAGCTTGCTTGGATTTCCTGAGCAGATTCCCTGGATTTTAGGACAGTCTCTTAAAATAACAGCACAATATCAAGTCCCAGAATCCCCCCCGTACCTGCTGGCTAAGGTGAGAGTGTACAAGTGACAGGGGAATCTTCCTGGATTTCACTTCCTGTCGCTGCACCACCCACTTCCTGCAATCCAGGGGGAATACCATTATTAATAGAGGCCTTTCAAAGGACTACTCCTGTGAAACAAAGTGCTTTTTGGACTATTTTATTAGTACGATGATGTGTTAATATCATTACTGTATTTTGTCATAATAATGATGATAAAAAGAGTAAATCACTTTATCTAAATTAAGGGTGGTGTGTTTTTCTTAGATGATTATATCACTAACTCAGTAGTCTGTATTGTTGTATACAGTTGGGAATCGCTGCACCACCCACTTCCTGCAATCCAGGGGGAATACCATTATTAATAGAGGCCTTTGGAAGTTTTTCCTAAAGATTAAAGAGAGGGCAGCTGAATTTTTGGAAATGGTTTGTAACAGTTGGTGTTACAAACTTGGTGTGTTTAGTATTCAATGTGAAAGAGCGCTGTCTCGAGAAGTCATTGTTAAATGTAATAATTGTTAAATGTAATAATTTTTAAATGTGTAAGTTGACTTGTAAGTGATATTCTCACAATGGGTTTATTTGCAGTGATGGATTTAAAGAGATTATGCCTTATGATCACTTCCAACCTCTCCCTCGGTGAGTTATGTGTTTACTTTTCCTCATTTACTAGAAGTAGTGTGCAAGCCCGTGTAGCACCTATAGAAGACTGCAGTGCATCAGGGACAGACATTAGGCCCTCCCAGAGCTAAGGTAAAACAGACTGCAACTCAGTAATTAGCAGTATCTTTTTAAGAATCAGGTGGAGGGGCTGGGGATTTAGCTCAGCGGCAAAAGCGCCTGCCTGGCAAGCGCAAGATCGTGAGTTCGGTTCCCGGTACCAGAGAAAAACAAAACAAAAAAAAAAAAAAAGAATCAGGTGGAATAGGTTACCTCAAAAGGTGATGTTTTCAGTCACTGGAGGGATAAGGGTATCTCAGACAGAAGGGATCAGGCAAGGAGCTAAAGCTTTGTAATTGACCAGCCATTTGACAGGTACATGACTAATGTGGTCTTTTCTGAATTTGAGTTTCTATGATTCTCTCTCTAGCAATATAATCACTTAGTATTTTATAGTTGAGAAACAGATGAAAGATCTTTACATACTATCTTTTAATTAGTTTAATGTCACAGTAACCCTCTTAGATAACTAGGGCAGGAGTATTATTCCATTTGACAGAAACCTCAGGTTCAGGGAATAAAATTTTTGTGACTGTAGACCATGTGTGACAGTTAAGAATGAAGTCTTAGGACTCCAGGTCTCATGAGCTCTTAACTGGACCACAGCTGATACCACGAGGCCATATTTTCAGCAGTCAACTTTGCAAACTTGAAACCAACAAACAGCAAATAAATAATGTATGTTTTTGTTTGCTTTTGAGCTGGGAACATAACCCGTGGACTGCGTGTTCTGTGTCCTGTGGAGGAGGGATCCAGAGGAGGAGCTTCGTGTGCGTGGAGGAGTCCATGCATGCGGAGATACTGCAGGTGGCGGAATGGAAGTGTATGTACGCGCCCAAGCCCAAGGTCATGCAAACTTGCAATCTCTTCGATTGTCCCAAGTGGGTCGCCATGGAGTGGTCTCAGGTGAGATGCAAAAACTTGCTACTTGTGGTTAGACTGTAGGTATTAAGGAATTCTTGGACAGCTTGGAATAAAAAAGTTGAGTGTGAATGTGGTTCCTATTCCCAAAGGGCTTTGAGAAACAGCTGGAGGACAGTGTAAGAGACACTGTGAGCATTAATGTAGGTAAGAAGTATCACTATTAAAGGCTGTGGCACATCTGGAAGGAAGAGATATCAAAGCAGAGCCAGCCAGGAGGTCTTCGTTACCCTTATAGTAGCTTCTTTAAAGATAGGAAGAATGTATGCAAGCGACAGTATAGAGCTTGCTGTGGTCGCTGACCAACCAGAAAGCTGGAATGAAATGAAACAAAGAGGTGTCCAGAAAGACCTTGATTCTCCTAGGTTGAAGAGAGAACTCTTGATATCAAGAACTAGAAGACAAAAGTAAAAATACTGACCTGACATTAGCAGTGCACCCTTGATCTAGTAATTATTAAGAAGCTTCCCAATTTTTTGAAGAATATAATATATTTCAGTTAACTGAGGTGAGACATCCTAACACTGGAAAAGGCCAGAGAAGGCCATGTACTTGGAATTAAGGAGAGAGAAGGTTATTGGGGAAATTGAAAGAGCCTCCCAGAGGTGTGTCAGATGAGCTTAGTTTCCACTTTCTAGGGAAATGGGAGAGTAAGCCTCTGGTTCAGATCAAGTGTAAATGGCTTAGTGCAAAATGAAAAATACATGTGTTGGTCTTTAGAATTTTAATCTTAATCTTTTAACTTTCTAAAAAGTAAAACCTAACTGACCCACATTTCTCTGGCTCTTTTGTATGATCTCTGTAGTACAGACGCATTAATACATCTATCCTTGTGTTTAATGTGCCAACGGCCATGCTAGAAAGAAGTAACACTTGCCCGCCTCTCCCAGAGGCTTAGAGTCAGCCTCCCCAGCCACACACAGACCAGCAGGTGTGGTGTGGTGTAGGGGTGTGAGCGCCACTCGGCACGTAGTGCTCGGGGACACCGGCACGAGATTGGCTCCAGCTGCAGGAGTCAGGAAAGGCTTCAGAAAGGAGACAGGTGCCCTATCCTGATACCTGAAGATAAGTGAGTTTCTAGGTGATGACCCACCTTAGTCTTTTTCCAGTGTCCCCCAGACTGTCATCCCATAGAATGGCAACCATAGTTGCGATAGAGTTATCATTTCTCTTCTGAGCATGCGTCCTGTAAAAGAAGTTTGGAAGATTACATAACCCTTCTCATATACTTAGGTTGACATCAAAAATTTTATCAGTAAGTTTAAATAATTGCAAAGAATATCACGTCCAATGTGCTGTGAATGCTGATATTTTAAAAGTGTAATTCACTGTAAAAAAAAATGTGTTCAGTGGAACCTAAATGTCATGACAGTTTCTATCTTTGCCATCTTTCACTTAAGTAATGGGAGCAAGCTCTAACAATTTGAGTGTTTTCACATTTCTCCTGTTGGACTCACATTTTCCATCTACTCCCCTGTAGAATTTTATCATAACATGATGTATTTATATGCTTAAAGTCTCTTATTGATTATACTCTTCCACTTCTAAGAAAATGTGTAATTAAAATTAATTTATTATAGTTTCTTGTAGCCAGAAGGCTCTAAGTATTAAGAATATTCCTTGAAGTCAGCTCTAATTAAATTTAATTTTAGTATCCAGTCAAAACAACATCAGTATATTTCAAATTTTGGTAAAGAGCTGTTACACACGAGAAGAAAATTTTCATCTGAAATCAGTTTTTCTAGAAGGTAAATGAGGCTTCAAAAATAGGCCGTATGCCCATTACTAGAATGAGAGATGGGCTCGGCTGTCATTTGACTGATGATGTTCACTGTTGACTTTTGCACTGTCTGCCGTGTACACTTTGGGGAAGCTTGTTCACATAAATAGAACGGGATAAAAGGGGTTTATTTCTCTGGGGTTATGCAGTTCTTTGAACTCCAGAGTTATATGCCAAAAACCATGTGATTGTGCATCCCCAAGAATTATTTTTAAATATCTGTCGGCTTGCAATTTGATTAAGTCCTTTTCCAATTATTTTGAAAGTAGGAAATACCACTGTAATGCAAAAGTAAGTACTACCTGGCCACTAGAGATTTTCATTTTTTGGCCCCAGTCAGCAGTAGAGCTGTTGTTAGCCCATTACTGGGTCCTAGCCATGTGTTCTGGGTCAGCCTTAGAGCTCTTATATCCTCCCATCAATATCCTGACTGTCATCACCTATAGCATCAAAATGGTTTGCTCACTGGCTCATCTTATTCACCATAGCTGGTTCCTACTACCTTTCACTTTTTAAAAAGTTCAAAGAACTCTCAGTGATAAAGATTTGCAGTTATTGAGGAAGTAATCCTCTCCAAAGGGCACTCTGGAAGTAGTGTGAATACTGGCTATCTCAGCGGATGAGAGTCCTTCTTCCCACATAAGTTAATTCAAATGAGACAGTGCTCTTCTGATTTGACCAATTCTAGTATGATTTTACCTTATCGTATTGCTTTTGCTTTGGGCACCATGCTTTTTTTCCTAGCTGACATAAGACAGCTTCTTACAATCATATTTCAAGTTGGTAAATTCAGGGGGAAGGGAAATCACTTTCCCTAAAGCAGATCTAAACTCAAACTTCACTCCCGTTACTATAGCATTTGTTCAGTGGTCGGGAGGAAGGAGGTGGGTGTGAGGAAGTTGGAGAGTTTTCCTCCTATTCTGCCTTTCTGGAGCTACATGCATAAAGGTCTCCTGAAAAGTGTCTGTGATACTTGTCCCCAAAAGCAGGGTATAAAGCATGTAGGAGCTCAGGAAAAAAGCCTTTCAGCCCTGCAGCAGTGACTGGGTCCTGGACTCAGCAGCAGGAGGCTCTGGAAGGAATTTCACACTGCTCTTAGCAACCGTGGGGCCTTCAGCCAGGTCCTTAGTTGATGAGCCCGTGCATATTCTGGTCAGGGAATCAGTAATAGCTCACATGTGCAGGACACTGCCTGTCCCCAGCAGGTGCTCAGGAAGGTTTGGTTTCTCCCGAGGGTAGACTTAGGGACGGTGAGACCTGAAAGTGTGCAGATTGGAGCTCACCTTTCATGTAAAAAGCTGTTAGGGACCCTAATGTGCACTCTAGACTTTAATTCAGGTCAGTGTACTGGAACGCTAGTCCCCGCTTGTCTGTAGGGGACCCCATGCCAAGACTCCCTCCCTGTGGATGCCTGAAACCGCATTCACTACGTTCTTTCACATACACACGTACCTATTATAAAGTTTAATTTAAAAATTGAGTAGATAGATGAAAAAGATAACCTAGGTTTTCACATGACAAGAGAACACACCATTATATTATAGGCAAGAGTTGCTTCTAAATCATAGACAAACAGTGTTGACAATATAAACTTCACCAAAAATCAGAAAAATGGCACAGTGTTTTATTATTTTTAATTGTCTGATCCCTCTGTAGCATTTTTTCCTATATTGTTTGGCTGAACACTCGCGGTGACCATTTCATGTGGTAACTACTCTGCAGGATCAAATCTACACAGAAGAGCAAAGTTAACTCTGGCGTGGTTGGTTGAAATTTAGTTTTTTTTAAATTCATAGCTCAGAAAAGTTTCTTTCAGCCTCACAACTTGTTTTGGGTCATATCATGTCAGTTTTTCATCAAATTTGAAAACACCTGAATCAAGTTTCTTTTCCTATTTGATTCAGAGCAAAGTAAGATTTCAGAGCAAATAAGATTCAGAACGTGCATTTTTCTTCCACAGTGATCTCATCTTAAATACTTTTCCAACTGAGAGTTGGAGAGAGGCTCCAGTGTGGGAGGGAGGGACCCAGAAACACAAGCATCCCAGAAATCCAGCCTCTGCCCCTTTCCTTTCAGAAGGCTTGTCAGAGGTCTTTCGTTTTAAATATTCATATAACTGAATGTTAATGAGCATCTCCTTTGCATATGGTAAAATAATGCTGCATAGACTGCTTCATGAAGAAGCTCACTGGCTTGTCTTTCGTCTTTGAAGTGCACAGTGACCTGTGGCCGAGGGCTAAGGTACCGCGTTGTCCTGTGCATCAACCACCTCGGGGAGCACGTTGGGGGCTGCAATCCGCAGCTGAAGCTGCACATCAAAGAGGAGTGTGTCATTCCCACCCCCTGTTACAAACCGAAAGGTACGATTGTGGTGTGTTTCATTCTAATTGAATGATGTTTTCCAACTTGCGATCCAGTATTTCAGCACTTCCATTTTGACCTAAAATGGTTTTACCCAGAGTTTGCAACAGACTTGTCCACCTCTGTGAGGAAGTTAGAAGTACAGGATCTGGAGAGGACACTAAGCTTCTGTGGATTCAGGACGTACAGAGCGGCTCCTACCTGTCTGGGCTTGTACTGATATTTCTTGGTGGGCATAAAATAAACAAAAAAAAAGGAAGCAGGGAAAAAAGAAGAGGAAAAGAAAGAAGAGATGGAGAAGGAAGAGGCAGCCCTTCTCCCCAAATTCTCACTTTCCTTTGTTCACACAGTGCTCTGTATGCAGCTCTCCTTGGCATATGTTTCTTGAAGGAGGAACAGTGTCCTCTGCAGTGTCATGGTGCAATGAATGAATGAAGATTTTAGCTCCCTATCTAGATCAGTGGATGCACTGAGAATTCCCCTGCAGTTGCATTTGCTCCACGTGAATTAGCAGAATAGGCAGAGAGCTATGGATAGCAAGTTGTGGCCTCATCTCTCCAATATGTGCTCCTTTTCATTCAGTTATTTCCATGTATGTTAGGAAGGTATACCCAACCCTCATGACAAGTATCTTCCTCCCGTAAATGGAACTCGATCATTCCTGCCTGTTTGTAAGAAGGACTTTTCCTTATACCTTAGAGAGGATGGTACAAGTCTCTCATTATTTCTGGGTTAATTATTATCTATACAGATAACCCCACAATTAATGATTCAGCAAGTGTTTGGTTGACCACACCCATCTTGCAGACGAACATTACTGGTTGTTCTGACAGGTGCACATGTGAATTCCATAGCTCCATTGGTGCAGCCCTTTCTCCTTTCTTCTCATTTTATTGCACTTTAATAGATACTTTTTTGGTGTCTGTACTTCCCTGAAAGCAGCCCAAAGTTATTTCCCTTTGCTTTGCACAAGTCGATCCTTTCTTTCCCCACATCTAAAGAGATTCCAAGGACAGAAAGAGGGACCAGCTGCTGTCCATGCCACATGCAACCAGTCATCTCTTGGCAAAAAACGCTGGTGGCAATGGTAATGGATGCACTCACTATCCCACTCCATTAACTTCCATGTTATTTTCTTTTCTCTATTAATTTGTGCATTCAGTGGGCAAGACAAATTGTAGCAAAAGAAAGTAAGTTGATATTGATGAAGTTAGAGCTTTAATATGCAAAGAACAGAAATTGGCATTGATTTGTAGAGGCACTTTTATGGAGAATATCGAGAGCACATTCAACTGTATCCTGGGAATTATTTCAGTTGTATTTTGGAGTGTGTTAATTTTTAAAAACGGCATAAATGTTTATTTATTCCAGAAGCCACCTAAAGTACTGGGCCAAAGGGCTCAACTTGCATTTAAAAACCATGACCTCTATGTTAATGAAATGTTCAGCCAATGATGATCGTGTACCCAGCCTCCCTGAGTGATTAATAGTCATTAAGTTCATTGTTTATGTTCCTTTTTCTTAGAAAAAAGTCCAGTGGAAGCTAAATTACCTTGGCTGAAACAAGCACAAGAACTAGAAGAGACCAGAATAGCAACAGAAGAACCAACGTGAGTCCAGGACCTTTTATGGGAGTGATCAGGGCATAGCCAGTTAGCATGATATATGTAATTTTTGTACTCAGTGGAGGACAAAGATACATGTAGTATCCAAATGGCCTGGAGTTCCAGACTCTAGAGAGCTGGAGCTGGCTAGAACTTTTCTTTATTTCACAATTCAGCAGTCCTACTTTGGCAGTATCTGTGAGAAGCACAAGAAAGAACAGTGTTATTTGACTCAAAGCAGACCCAGAGTGCTGTTACCAGTAAGACACTGGGGATAACTCCTAGATTAACACATATGGTTTAACCAAGGACAGTCACAGTACAATACAAATAAACTGAACCTTTTGTGGGTAAGTCATGGCCAGTCTCCATAAAACCAACCATGCTGAAACGCATCAGGGTGGCTGAAGGGATTGTGAGGAGCACCTCAGGGCTGTGTGGTGTGTGGAAGTAGAAAGAGCGTGCAGCTTAGAGCAGCCCCTGTTAGCTGTGTGACTTCACACAAGGCTTCACTTTTGCTGTGTCCCATTCTCATTATTTGTTAAAGGGCTGAGTTGGCCTCCATCTCTCCAGGGTCTATGCCCATTAAAGCTGCAGTGCCTGCTGTGCATGTGTGGTGTGGCCAGTCTGAGTTGTAATGGTGTCTGTGGAAAGGAAGAACCCAGAGCAAATTAAAGAAGCATTCTGGAGACAGAGACTTAGGGACCAAAAGAGAGGAAAGAGTCAAATGTAAGCTGTAGTTCCTAGCCAGGAGTCCAGCACAGCAGACTCAGGTAATGGACAGGACACCCTGAGTCCTTGGTATTGACAAGATGTCTGCAGAGAGAGAGTGCAGAGTGGAGCATGGCAGAGCGTGACAGGAGACCTCAGCCATGATCTGGCCCATTTTCCTGAGAGATTGAGCCCAACCTGCCCCTCCTGTGCATAAGGAAAATGAGATGCACAAAGGTGAGAGACTTGTCTAAGATGACACTGTTGATAGTGGTGGTCCTCAGCTCCAGTTCTCAGCCCGGGTCCCTTTCCTCACACCTGGCTGGCCCTGGGATCTTTCCAAAGAGTTGCTTGGGCATCTCTCCTCCCACACCTTCAGCAGTACGTGGAGCTCACTGCATGAAGAGACAGCTCATTCTTGTGTTGAACATCTTGAAATATTTGCAAGATTTTTCCTCCTGTTGAGCCAAAATATCCTTCTTCCTAATTTCTTTTTCCTAAAACAGAAAAAAAGGAAGAATTGATTCCCTTATCCCATGTGACACATTTTCATACATCTGACAAAAACTGTCATGGGTCCTGAGAACTCTGTCTCCCCCAGACCAGCATTCTTTTCACCTGCCAACGTCTGCAGCTCTCCTACCACCCTCATTGTTCTGTTCAGGATGCATGCTCCTTTGTTGCTGCCCCTTTTAACTGTGGTCCAGGCTGCTCATAAGCCCTAGGGGCCCAGAGGAGTGTGGATTACTTCCCTTTGCGAAAGCACTGTGCCTTTCGTGATGTGATGCCAGGTTGTTATACTCATGACACTCTCAGGCTTTTCCACAGGCCTGGCTAAGAACACAGAAGAATCTGTGTGGATGCTGGGAGGGAAAGGGACCCCAGAGGCACTAAGGAAAGAGAGAAGAGTGTGAGGCTTGTGACAGAAGCTCAGAGATCTACAGGAAAAAAGGAATCAGAAGAAGCAGGAGGAGGAGTAAGTCCTGAGCAAGACCCAGGAAAGCACACATGACAGAGACAGAGAGAGAAGGATTCGGGATGGGTATGCAAAATGAGACGCACATCTCACAGGAAGCCAAGGAAGAACTGAGGACTGAGAAGAAGCCCCCTGATTAAGAAAGTTGTTTCTGTTAATTTTACAGTGGAGTCATTCAAAGAGTAGAGAGGAAAGTGTGTGGAGAACTTAAATGAATTTTCAGCTAAAAAGGAAAGGAAGTGACAGGTATTTAGTTACTAAGGAAAGAAGCACAAGCTGATAAAATAATAGAGAAGAGTGTGTGTATGTGTATATGTATGTATGTGTTTGTTGCTTTTATTTGAATTTAGAATAGACTTCATATATTATAAAGATGATAAGGATTTGATGCAAGACTGGTAAGTTAACATCTGTAGGTGTCCCAGCTCTATAAGGATGGTCTTAGGCTAAATGCTACTAGGACCTCCCACTCTGATCTTCTAGATTGTGTAGAGGCAGGAACCTATGGAAGGAAAGGGATTCCAGATATAGCAAAGGAATATGTTGTGGTCACACAAAGAAAAGCATAGCGATCTCAGTCTAGAGTGATGGGTCCCTCTAGGATTTTGTTGCCAAAACAAAGTCAGGTAGCAATTGTTAATCCTTCTGTGTGTCCTCTCTTGGTTAACAGGATCACTGTCTGTCCACTTCTCCATTCCTGGAGCCCAGAGTCATTCTTACCTTTTTCTACACATTGCTTAGCTGTACTCACCCTCCTGCATTGCAATGATCACACTTGCTAAAATCGCCTTGGGTTCCAGCTCCTCCTGTCCACCCCCACTCACACTCTGCCCACGTGCT